GACATCTTTAATCAGTGCCTGAAAACAGACATATGACACTTCCTAGCTTCCTGCCTCTGTTCAGCTACCTGTATAGAGTCTCCCTTCCTTTCTTCTGCAACTGCTTTCCATTTCACACTGTGCCAGGTACCATTACTTTGTTCAGCTCAGGATCTCTCTCTACTAAAGTCTCAGATTTGCTGCCACATACAGTCATCCTTCTACATTTAGTTTTGACTTTTGCAAATTTGATTATCCATGGAAATATCTTTAGGAAACTCTTAAGTCTTCCTGCATGACCTTCTGGTCAATGTCCTCTGTGTGGGGATTTGTAAAAAGACACCATGATGTAATGGGTGGACTGGAAAGGCATGTGTCGGAAGCTGAGCATGCCAGGAGACAGAATTCTGATTTGCTACTGTCTCTGGCTTGCTGCTGAGACAAACAGTTTTAACTGCCACTTTTACCTTGGAGAGTAAAGAGAGTGCTGACTGGAAACAGCCAGGAAGGAAATGGCTGCCAGTTCTCTGAAGCCTGATCATTTCTAAGGCATGAAGCATATTTTAAAGACTGTTTAAAAGGATTGTTTATTCTCTCTGTCCTTTGTAAGAATTCAGAGAGACTGCAGTATATATTGTTTCTCTTTTTGACCTTTTTAATTGAAGTAAAGTTACTGTTACTCGTTACACAAATGTGAGTGACACATTATTATACTGCAGGGTATATTTTGGTTCTGTAAAACTTCTGTTTATTTACATTTACAACCTCCAACACTCTGGCCATGCTGAAAGACCCAAGAGATTTCTAGAGAGAATAACTTTCTAGGGACTTCATCCCACAAGCTTTGGGCTCCATTTCCAAGGGAAACAAGCCCCACGGGAGTCCCCTGGTGGTCATCAGACAATGTAAGGAACTTTTGGGGGGACTTTGTGGTGCTATGTTTCCACATGGAAACAGAATCCAAAGGCCTCTATCAAGAATTGGGTGTCAATTGAATCCTGATAGAGAAATATGGGGCCAAGTGGAGGAAAGATGGGGAAAGGCACAGTAAGTATGTGGGATGGCTGGCCATCTCCGAAGACAGACAGATAGACAGGAAGCAACCATGTAAGACCACCTCCCCCTGCTTTCCCTCACTATTCCCCACTTTTCTCCACTTTCTCCTGCCCATCTGATGTGGTCCTAGGACTTTAATGGCGATATAATACAGTTCTTTAAACAGAAATCAACCATAGAGTCATGCTGGAAGACTCAGATATTTCTAAAAAGGTGTCATTTCAGGTAAAAACAATAGCAATTTATTAGTGGTTTTGCTAGGCAAAGACACCTTGCCCCCACCCCCAACAAATCCTGCCAAGTAACCCCTGTGATAGATTCATTTTAGGGTCACCATAAGTTGGAAGCAACTTGAAGGTACCACTAACACAACAAAACAGAATTAAATTTTGTTATTAAAGCCATCACTCATAGCAGTAAAAATTATAGGGTTTAGTTTTCTAGACATGACATTACTAGAGCCTTGTAGTATCTTCCTTATTGAAATAAGCATGTAATGATGGATTTCTTCCTGTAGAGAGCAGTAGTACATTATGCTTGCATACCTTACCAGTCCTGTATACACAATCTCTGCTTTCTACTTCTTAATTTATTCATGTTTCTTAAAGTTCATATGAAGCAGAACTAAAACCTATCACAAATGGGCCCCTTTGGAAATTCAAGGGCAGATGAAGAACACGATAGTCAGATTTCAGAGTCGTTTGCCCCATCTACATTGTCATATAATCCAATTTCTGATCCCAGATTATCTGCATTGAACTGGATTGTGTGGTGGTCTAGACATATATCCCAGTTCAAAGCAGATAATCAAGATCAGATACTAGATTATATGGCAGTGTAGGTCCAGCCATGGTTACACCTGTACATAGGAAGTTATTTTGTTTTTGGTCACATGATGGGTGGGCCTCTCCTAGTAGCTTGGTATTGGCTCCAGTGTTTGGCAATAGCTCTCCTCTGAATATTCCTTGTCCAAGGCTCTATCCACACCACAAAATTATAGCAGTTTGATATCACATTAACTGCCACTGCTCAGTGCTATGGAATTCTGGGATTTATAGTTGTGATATACTCTTCTGTCAGGCCCCTTCTACACTGCCATATAAAATCCATATTATCTGCTTTGAACTGGATTATATGGCAGTGGAGACTCATATAATTCAGTTCAAAGCAGATAATGTGGATTGTATGCTTTGATAATTTGGTCTATATGGCAGTGTATAGGGGGCCTCAGAGACCTCTGGTGCCAAACTACAAATCCCAGGATTCTATAGGATGGTGCCATGGCAGTTAAAGTGGTGTCGAGCTACTATTCTTTTGCAATGTGAATGGCCTCTAAGAGAACTATGTGGAATTCCATAAATCAACAGGAGACTTGAAGTCATCTATACACACACCACAGAACTTTGAACAAAGCCTTTTCCAATCTAGATACAGAAGCAGAACTGCAGAATTGTAGTTTGTTGTTGCCATTTTTCATCAAGTCAACTTCAACTCATGAATGTGAAACCTGCAAGAAGTATTGCATCAACAGTCTTACTCAGATTATGCAAACTCAGGGCTATGGCTTCCTTGATTCGATCACCTGTAGAGCAGTCTCCCTCTTCCTCTACTCCAGCTTTTCTCAACTGGGGGGGGGGGGGGCGGTCACGAGGAGATGTCAGAGGGGTCACCAAAGACCATCAGAAAACACAGTATTTTCTGGGTTGTTGTAGGTTTTTTCGGGCTATATGGCCATGGTCTAGAGGCATTCTCTCCTGACGTTTTGCCTGCATCTATGGCAAGCATCATCAGAGGTAGTGAGATCCGTTGGAACTAGGAAAAAGGGTTTATATATCTGTGGGATTACCAGAGTGAGACAAAAGACTCTTGTCTGCCGGAGCTAGGTGTGAATGTTTCAACTGACCACCTTGATTAGCATATAATGGCCTGACAGTGCCTAGAGCAAACTTTTGTTGAGAGGTGATTAGATGTCCTTGTTTGTTTCCTCTCTGTTGTTGTGCTGTTGTAATTTTAGAGTTTTTTAATACTGGTAGCCAGATTTTGTTCATTTTCATCGTCTCCTCCTTTCTGTTGAAATTGTCCACATGCTTGTGTATTTCAGTGGCTTCACAAAAAATATCTAGATACGGCGCAGTCAGGCTTTAGGCCGGGACATGGTACCGAGACAGCCTTGGTTGCCTTAGTGGATGATCTTCGCTGGGCACTAGACAGGGAGAATGTGTCCCTGTTGGTTCTGCTGGACCTCTCACCGGCCTTTGATACCATTGATCCTATTCTTCTGGGACGTCTTGCTGAAATGGGCCTTGGGGGCACTCTTCTTCAGCTCTGTCACTCCTCCTCACCTGCTACTAAGGAGGCTGTTCAAGTCCAAACAGGGTATAGGGTTACAGCCAGTGCAGGATGGGGTTACACTCCCCCTGAAGGCACAGGTTCGCAGTTTGGGAGTGATCCTGGACTCATCGCTGAGCCTGGAACCCCAGATCTTAGCGGTGGCCAGGGGAGCTTTCACACAATTAAAACTTATGTGCCAACTGCGCCCATACCTTGGGAGGTCAGACTTGGCCACGGTAGTCCACTCTCTGGTTACATCCTAAATAGATTATTGCAACACACTCCACGTAGGATTGCCTCTGAAAACTGTTTGGAAGCTTCAGTTAGTCCAACGCTCGGCAGTCAGGTTGCTCACGGGAGCGGGATACCGAGAGTGCACAACACCCTTGCTACACCAGCTCCACTGGCTGCCTATTAGCTTCCAAGCACAATTCAAAGTGCTGGCTTTGGCCTATAAAGCCTTTAATGGTTCTGGCCCAGTTTACCTGTCTGAACTTATCTTCCGCTACAAACCACCAGGGACTTTAAGATCATCCGGGGAGGTCCTACTCGCTGTCGCCCCACCATTGCAATCAAGGCTGGTAGAGACAAGAGAAGGGCCTTCTCCATGGTGTCTCCTTGGCTATGGAATTCCCTCCCAAGTGAAATCAGATCCGCTCAATTTCTCCTGACTTTCCGGAAAAAAGTGAAATCCTGGCTGTGCGATCAGGCCTTTGTGGACTAAACAGTTTTGATGGCAAAGCTATGGTTTTAATGGACTCTGATGGACTGTTCTTAAGACGATGACTTAAATTGGCAATTGTTTTAATGTTTTTATAATGTTTTATACTGTTTTTACTTAATATGTATATCTATGTTGTTGTTAGCCATCCTGAGTCCCTCTGTGGAGGTCGAGGTAGGATGGGATATAAATCTCCTACATAAATAAATAATAAATATAATATTTATATATGAAACATTGTTTCATTAATGTAATTGATTAATTTTCAAGCAAATAAAGGACAGTTTTATCGAAGGCTTCCATGGTTGGAATCACTGGGTTGCTGTGAGTTTTCTGGGCTGTATGGCCATGTTCCAGAAGCATCCACTCCTGACATTTCGCCCACATCTATGGCAGGCATCCTCAGAGTTTTGACTTCACAACCTTCTGGAACATGGCCATACAGCCCAGAAAACTCACTGTAATTTTACAAAGTCTTTAGCTTTCTCTGTCAAAGAATGCTAATGCCAAACAAACTACACATCCTAGAATTCCATAGGAATTCTTTTAAAATCTAGTCTCAAGCCTTCTACTCCGAAAAACAAAACAAATGTGTGATGTGCAGCACTTGGTAGCATGGATTTATAGACATGTTTGTGCAACTTCAACATTGAAGAAACATTGCAAACCTAGGAAACAGGTGCCAGGAATAAGAGTTTTTTCTGGGCAAACCTGAAAGAAAAGGTATGCAACTGTCTGGATTACCAAAAGACCACTTCCTACAGAATGACTGCAGATGGGTCTAAAAATACTTGAGGTTAAGGGAGACCCCCCCCCTCACCTGCTATTAATATAGGCAGATAATGGCTGCCCAGGAAAGGGTTAAAAGTGTATAGTGCCAATGCTGATGTCAGTTCCCGTGCTTCTTTGGAGGGCTGGCCCTGCTGTGATATTTGAGCCTGGCTCTCCCACTTTAAGGGAAAGACACAGACAGCAAGCACAGAAAGAGAGGGAAAGAGAGAATGGGAAGGAGCTGAATGGGATTCCAGGAGAAGCAGAGCTCTGCCTGGGAGGGTGCCTTTGGTTGGGGTGCCCTGCCCCACCTCCAGGCCGCCTTTCTCTGGCTTCACAGACTGGAGGAGAGCAGGAGGCGGAGGGGGCAAGACGGTGTTCCTGAGCACAAGGCAAACTTGGTCTGATCAAGAACAATACAAGGTCAGCCACTGAGGCAACTGCTGCGCTCTTTGCTCTTTCTTCCCTATGTCCTGCTTGCCTCTGCTCTCATTTTTCTTGCTAGAGCAATTGTGCCAAAAGTTAAGATCGGATGGGGGACACCTGCTTCTCCCTCCACCCCATGCCTAGAACCTGTTTTATGCAGAACTACTAAAATAGTTGGTAGCAAGTCATGGCATTCACACGAGGATTCGTTGTTGTTGGTTTTTGTTTTTGTAGAGAACATGATTGCTAAAACATGCATATGTTGAGTACTATTGCTGATCTGATCAGAAAAATTTCATTCTTTTTAGCGTCAACATCAGGCATGGGGAAACTTTCATCCTTTGGGTGTTTTGGACTTCAACTCCCACTATTCCTAACAGCAGGTAGGATGTTAGGAATAGTGAGAGTTGAAGTCCAAAACATCTGGAGGGCTGAAGTTTGCCCATGCCTTGCCTGCATGATGGTGGCGATGCCTGCTATTGTTGTTTCCTGTTTTTTATTACAGACTACTGATATCAACCATATGAAATATGGGTAGAATGATTAGCAGAGTTTGGGGTCTTTGCTATCTCTGTCAAATAGTTTAGCTACCGTTTTAAACACAGAGAAAAGGTCCCTCGATATCAGAAAATTTTGTTTGTAAATAAATATTTTGGATTGTGCAGTGTCTCCTGTACAAATGGATGCCAGAAAACGCGAGATGCCATGAATTAATGACAGAGTCAAGGGCTGTGAGGAATGCCTTCACGTGTTGCCTAGTATGAGTATCCAAGGAAAAAGATAAACAAGCTTTTGTGGTCCTTTGGCTGCTGAAGCCCATGTTCTTAAAAGTTATCTCTTTAACTCGTCATGATTTCAGCTTTATTGTTTAGAGTTGAGCTTTTTTGTTTTGATGGTTTATTTGTCAAAGGATTTCTATACTGTTTTCTGTGATGTGGCGGCAAAAAAAGCCAATGGGATTTTGGCCTGCATCAATAGGAGCATAGTGTCTAGATCTAGGGAAGTAATGCTACCCCTCTATTCTGCTTTGGTTAGACCACACCTGGAATATTGTGTCCAATTCTGGGCACCACAATTTAAGAGATATTGACAAGCTGGAATGTGTCCAGAGGACGGTGACTAAAATGATCAAGGGTCTGGAGAACAAGCCCTATGAGGAGCGGCTTAAGGAGCTGGGCATGTTTAGCCTGAAGAAGAGAAGGCTGAGAGGAGATATGATAGCCATGTATAAATATGTGAGAGGAAGCAGGGAGGAGGGAGCAAGCTTGTTCACTGCTTCCATGGAGATTAGGACAAGGAACAATAGCTTCAAACTACAAGAAAGGAGATTCCTCCTGAACATGAGGAAGAACTTCCTGACTGTGAGAGCCGTTCAGCAGTGGAACTCTCTGCCCCGGAGTGTGGTGGAGGCTCCTTCTTTGGAAGCTTTTAAACAGAGGCTGGATGGCCATCTGTCAGGGGTGATTTGAATGCAATATTGCTGCTTCTTGGCAGGGGGTTGGACTGGATGGCCCATGAGGTCTCTTCCAACTCTTTGATTCTATGATTCTTCAAAAATCAGTCTGACATGCAAATCAATCCAGTAAATCATAAATAAAACAGCAGTAATACCAAACAGAGAAAGAAAACTACAGAATGCATGGTACTAAGACTCAGCTTTTAAAAATGGGCTTTATGTTTTTGTCTAAAAATGGCAAAACCAGGTGCACTGATGATTTATCTTCATGGAAAAGCCATTCTGCAACCTGGAACCAAAAGAAATCAAAGGAACTGTATCCTCCCCTGAACACATCTCATGAGTTCCCATAGATGGACTTCACAGTAGCAGGCTTCCCAAGTGTCTTTTAACTCGCAAAGTACTTGTGTATTTAGTTTAAGAAGAAACTGTCTGAAATGGCACATACAAATTAGATGTCTTGTTGCTTGTGTGATGTTACCTCTTTAGAATCGTAACTGAGACTGTGATCTGTCTAGTTCAGGCATGGGCAAACTTGGGCTCTCCAGATGTTTTGGACTTCAACTCCCAGAATTCCTAATAGCCTCAGGCAGGCCCGTAGCCAGAAAAAAATTTCGGGAGAGGTTGAAATTTTCGGGGGGGGGGGGGGGGGTTTGAAAATTTCACCGGGGGGGTTAAAACCTGCCTCCTAGCTCACGCTGAAGCAAAGAGCACAGCAGGGGGCAGAGCAGCCTTCAATAGCCTGCAGCTCCGCCCCTGTCAACCACCTCCACCAAGTCTGGCCTCCTTAATGAGAGCATTCAACACCCCCCCCCCCTCCAACTTCGCTACATCGGCTATTGCTGCAAGTAATGACAGTGTGAATGAATTCTCAATATTTGCTTGAGATAGTGCTTGCAGTTCTGGAGGGACTTTTAATTGTTTGCATCTCATAGAGTTAGCTTGGGGATTTGGTTAACCAGTTAAAATTCATGAGTAAACCAGGTGTTTTTAAAAATCTGAAACATTTCGGGGGGGGGTGAACCCCTAACCCCCCCTCCCCCTCGCTACAGGCTTGGCCTCAGGCCCCTTCCCTTTCCCCCTCAAGAGCTGGTGGGCCCAAGTTTGCCCATACCTGGTCTAGTTGGTTATACATATGTAATTGTTACAGTGATTATTTCCATCGTCAAATCTGTAGAGTAGCACAGAGTTGTCCTATTACATATAACTCCAGCAAGTTCATATAAACACTAGACTACCAAGTCAATGGGAAGATGTGAAGCTGACACACTTCGTTGTGAGAGTATATAAAATTTTTGAGGTAGTAAAGGTCTTGTCTGATGTTGGAAGCTAAGCAGCATCTTCAGTTAGTACTTGGGTTGGAGACCACCAACAAATACTAGATGTGGTGAGCAACATTTTAGGGGAGGGAAGTGACAAAACCACCTCTGAGTATTCCTTGTCTAAGAAAGCCCCGGGAAATTCATGGAATCACCATAAGTCAACAGGTGATTGAAGGCATACAGAGAAACATATTTTTCAAGCTCTATGTTATTTTCTAGTCTTTGGAACACTCTTAGGAAGGTTTGAAAGTTACCTGCTTGTGCATTTCTTATCTTCCTGGGCTCTTATAACTACAGAGATGTGATGCAACAAGTTGTGTTGCATGAACCTACATTAGAATGAGCAAGTAGTATGATTTTGGCAGCTGTGCTTGATTTCTGAAGTACAACACATTGTTGTGAACTGTGCTATTGCTAAAGCCAACTAAACTGGTGATAAAACTAAAGTGATAGAATAAGGATTATGTTAATTAACATGAGAGAACAATTTTACTTATTTATTTAATGTTTAGCATTTTGTCATTAATGTGCTACTTTTGAAATACATAGATAGGTCAATCTATTAGAAAACTTCAATTGACGAATCAGGCTGATGTGCCATCCAGAATTCTGTTGTGGACACATTTTCATAAGTACACTTGCATATTTGAGAATTAGAATTGCAGGATTATGTAACACCCATATTTAGGAAGGTGCAGCTATTGTTGGAATTAGCAGCCTTCTCAAGCCTCCACTAGTTACTTGTTGTGTATATAATTGCTTACTGTATTGTATATATGTGTATTGGTATGCAATTTGACTTTAACTCTTTGTTGTGGGAGAGGCTGCAGACCATGTGATCAGGACTGGGCTTGTTCAGAACTCAGACTCCATTTTAGGAATACTTCAGTATTGTTTTGGTCTTCAGTAGGAATAGTATGCTTGAGAGACTTCAATGGACTTTCAGACTAGACAGAGACACTATTAGGCCTCCAGAACAGAGAGATGCTTTGGACTGGTGATTATGAGGAAGATGCCCTGTGTTATCTATACAGAGAAACTACTTCAACTCCTATTTGTAACTGGATTGATATGCAAAGTACCTGTATGCTGAATACACGAAGTTTGTGAGTAGATCAACTATGTTTCTTTTAAAGAAGTCTACTTATTTTTGTCTCTTGAGAGCATGATTTAAAGGGAAACATATTTTAAGGGAGAGTAGATGCTTTTGGGCAACTAAAATAACACTTCTGAAACTGCTGTATGAATGCTGGTGAATGCCATTTTCCCAAAAGGTTATGACTCTTAACAGGTAATGCTTTTACCAAGAGGTTATGGCATCATTTTTCAAAAGGTTGTGACTTCTAACAAGGTCACCCCATCCCAAAGATCATAAAATCTCCAAATGTTTCTGGAGATTTCCATTTCCCAAAAGCTATTGCTGCCCTATGTAGCAAAGCCAGCAAAGTGTCTGCTGCACATTGAGACCAATGTGCATTGCTTCTGATGTGCTATGTATTAGGCACCAGTGCACGTCGGGTATTCCTCCTGGTGTCCCTTTATACAACTTTGCAGTTCAGTAAAAGGGTTCCTTAGTACCCCTGCTAAATATAAATAAAGCTATACAACGTAACAAGTCATATAGAATTCCAGCAATTATTTTTAAGATTTATAAAAACAGAGATGCATTTTTCCCGTAGTTATAACATTTTAATTAGCATAGTTAAGTTTCTTGCATAGCAATTGTATTCCAAATGTATTTGATTGCTTAATCAGTTAATTGGCTAAAATGAAAGATCAATTGAAGAGTTCTTTAAGTGGGTGGCAGGATGTGTAATGCATGTTTCTTAAGGTACCAATCAATATTCAACAAGATGTATACATATTGAAAAATACTGTGTAATGTTGAACCGTGTATAATACCTAGTTTTGACTTTAAATGAGCGGTTATTAGGCACTGCTCTGTAATTGTTTGGTAAATAAAAAATATGCATTTTCAAAAATTACTTTTAAAATGTGAAGTGATAACAATTCCATATCAGAAAACTGGCAGTTCCAGAGCCAAAAAGAACAGTTTCAGAATGAGTCCTTTTACTATAATAAGTGATAACAGAGCTGTAAAACTAGATCTTTGATTACATTTTTGGCATTCCCTTCTAGAGAGATACATTCGTAGTGCAGAGTCCCTGCAAACGGCACAATACACAACTAGTCTAGCACTGCCAAAGCCAAGTGATATA